CGCATTTCTAATTGAAATGCAAAATGCCAGACAAAACTAGATTATTGAAATTTTTATAAATTTTCACGCCTTTTTTATTTATTCATAAACTTTCGAACCGGCCAATTTGTCTGGAATTGAAAATTGAATAACATTTTATAATACCGCAAACACAATGGCCCTCTTTTTTGTACATTTAGATCACTGAAAAAGTTAAAAATTTTCACATAATTTTCCACAGAGAAACTCGACTCCGAACATTGGAAACCGTCTGGCAATTTATTTTTATCATTTTCGTAACAAAAATTTTCATTGTTTCGATTGCCAGACAAAAAGTAAACGATTATTTTTTTTTTCTTCTTGCAAGTTCACCCCTATGAACCACCCTTTCGGCTATTTAAAACCGTCTGGCATTTGAAAATTGTTAGGTACTTATTAATGTCTATTTTTGCATCAATTGCCAGACATTTTAAGATGAGTGAAAACTAATTATTTTATGCAAAAGGAAATTAATTTTCCAAATTTTCGAACACGGTCGAATTTCGAGCTGTTATAAGAGATCAAGCTTTCATAAATCTAAGATTTCAGCCCTATCCTATCATAGCTGGTGACGACCCCAAAGATCGCTCAAATTCAATGAGAAGAAACCGTACCGAGGATCACCTTCAGGATTTGGTGGATCCATCCCGAATTAGGTACGAACGTTGTCTCCAGATAAGTATTCAGGGTGCTATACCTGACCAGTCCAAAGTAGGTACCATCTCAAGCATTCACATTTATATTAGGTATATTAACTGTATATTCCATTGTTGATGAAATATTTGAAATAAACTTTTACAACCAATAATAAAATTGTTACATATTTTGCGGGCTCTGGCTTAGAGCTAGATCACCAATCGAGCATTTTTATCATCCAGGATTAACCATACAATGATGCTCTTTAGCTCAATACAAAAACCTCTTTACCCAAACTCAAAGACAAAGAAAGAACACGGAAGGTGACAAGGCTTAAAAGTGAGAAAAGACTCAATTGAAAGCCTAGATGCAAAATGCAATGAGTTAGAGGGAGCTGCAATAGAAAAGAGCCGACTAGCCAGAGATTCCAGTCAGGGTTCAATCTACAATAAGTCTGGTGTATTGTTCCAAAATTACTAACCCAATATCTACGCTTCGATGTTACATTCTTGAAAGCTACCGAGAGAATACGAGCATACGAGCGAAACCTCAACCGACAGGTAATTTTTCCGATGTTAGTGAAGGATTTTCTTTTACTTCTATGTCAGTTCTAATATAATGCTGATACATATCCTGTCTTTGAGCAGTTCATTCCTCGTAACAGAATTTTTTACAGACAAGTATATGACATAACAGAAGAAAATTTTACACGGCTAAAAAAGTACAGTTATTATCTTGACATTTACATTTACCACTTATCTTATCTGAACACTTAGGAAGCAACAAATTAATAAATTTTTTGTTTTATATCAGATGCACCTAAATAATAACAAATTTAATATATAGGGTGTCCCAGAATAACGTGTACAACGGAAGACCATAGATTCGTGGGCTCAAAATAGACATCTATAATTCAACTATATCCGAAATCGCTTAGTTTGGCCGCTAGATGGCCTCAAAGTTGGTGAAAATTTTTTGAATTTTGTAAATAACTCGAATATCTATTAATCGATTTTAATTATTTTTGGGATGTGGACTTTTGCTTTCAATCTACACATTTTGGTGCTATACAGAGTGTTTTTTAAAACCTACTACTCGTACAAAATTGATGTATGGTGATAATATCCATTCATTCCTTTCGGGCAATAATGACAACTATTTTTTATATAATAGGCGATACTATTTGGAAGTTTTTGCGCCTCTTATATAATCTTGATAAATAAGCGGTTTGGGTACAAAAAAATATTTTTTAAATGTGTACATTATCGTGCCACCCATATTATATGTACTTAACAAAGTGCTAGTAGGCACTAATTTTGTAGGTTGACTGTAATTTCAGTCTGATCTTTAAGTCATTGTGCCTGACAATTCTTAATTAGTGTTTACGACGATAAGAAAAGTATACCACCTGTTAGTTACTTCATTATTCGATATGGATACACACATACGACGAATTAGAGTTATTTACAATGTGTCTAATGACCCCGCATTCTTCTTATGGAAAATGGCTTTCGGCTAATTTTCTTGAAATTTTGCAGCTTGATAGTTCCCAATATGTAGATCAAAAGTCTCAATGGGCAAGAAGACCTATAACCCCTCCTTGCCCCCCAAAAATTCACCACCAAGGGGCTAGGGGGATATAACTGATTTCTGAATATGAAACAGAGCTAACAAGTAGTTCATGCATGATGGATCTCCATCACATTTCACTGTAAATGTCCGGCAGTATCTGAACCAAAGATTGTCTCGTCGATGGGTCAGTAGAAAGGATAATCCTGTTAATCCTGTTAATTGGCCTGTACGTTCACCAGACTTAATACCTTGCGACTATTATCTTTGGGGTACTCTGAAAACAACAATGTATGCTTCCACATCTAACACTGAAGAAAAGTTGCCTTCAAGAACTGCAAAGGGTGTCCTTTAACTTTCTTCACCGAATTAACCTTTGTTGTAGAAACAACGGTGGTCATTTTGAACAGTTTTTATAATAAGTTGTACTAAAATTAATAACAGCAACTTTGTTACTTTTATCTTCAGCATTTTTTATTGTATTTGATTGTTTTTATGAATTATTTCAATAAAATTAGGTATGTTGTAAATAACTTTAATTCGTCGTATGTGTATGTATCCATATCGAAATATGTATGTATGTATCCATATCGTAGTAAACACTCATTAAGAATTGGCAGGTACAGTGACTTAAAGATCAAACTGAAATTACAGTCAACCTACGAAATCAGTGCGAACTTAATTGTTATTGCAAAAAAATTCATTATTTTTCTTGGATTTCTCGTCGACAACTTAGCAACTATTCATTTTAGACAAAAATGGAAGAGGAAAAAAAGTTTTGTAATTAAATTTTGAACAAGATAGTTAGTTGAAATTCGAAAAAATAATTATTATTATTGCAAAAATCGGAAAAATCTTTTAAAAAATTACAAAAATGCTAGTTTATTTGTCAATTTTTTTCAGACACTTGAATAATACCTAGTATCTTCATACTTTTCCCAATTAAACTTCTTAGTACATAGAATCATCACACCAAACTTCATCCAATTCGGTTCGATAGTTTTTGCATAATTCAGATCGGAGTAGCTGTGTGTTTGCTCCCCCCCTCCACTGATACCTCATTGATTTCACGCGGTCTTGAATATTTTTGAGTGACATTTTAAATGGGACGCTCTTGATTGCAAATTTTGAAAATTTATATCTGGAAATTACTCGGAATGACAAACCTATTAGTTCAAAAAATAGCCCTTATACTCTTATAGTTTTGCTGTAAATAAGGGTTAACTTTAACGGGCTATAACTCCGAAAATAATGGGCGGATCATCAGTTTTTTTTTAAATACTCGTCTTTCCGAGTATTTTCAAACCATATTTTAAAATAAAAAAAATGAAAAAAACATTAAGTTATTGCAGTTGTTTATAAGCGTGAAAATTGCGGAAATGTTTAAACAATCATCACGGCTCAACTAACCGTCCGATTTGAATTTTTCAAAAACCATTTTAAAGCTTGAGAGCTCTTCTTTTTGTGGTAAAATTTTCAAGTATTCAAAGGCTTTAGATTTTTAGAAATTTGTTTTTGAAAATTTTTTAATTTAAAAAAAATAAAAAAATTAAACAATTATTATGCAAAAACTATCGAACCGAATTGGATGAAATTTGGTGTGATGATTCTATGTACTAAGAAGTTTAATTGGGAAAAGTATGAAGATCCTAGGTATTATTCAATTGTCTGAAAAAAAATTGACAAATAAACTAAACTAGCATTTTTTGCAATTTTTTAAATGATTTTTCCGATTTTTGCAATAATAATAATTATTTTTTCGAATTGCAACTAACTCTATCTTGTTCAAAATTTAATTACAAAACTTTTTTCCTTTTCCATTTTTGTCTAAAATGAATAGTTGCTAAGTTGTCGACGAGAAATTCAAGAAAAAAATTAATTTTTTTGCTATTTTTTTATACTTTTTTGCAATAACAATTAAGCCCACGTTTTTTTTATTTGCACATAAAAATTATCATTTCTGATGTTATTTAGAAGCCGTTAAAGCAAAAATCTCCGATCATATGCGTTTTACCCAAGTATACCCTTTTTAAAACAGATATCGCCTGGACTATAATGCATAAGGCGCAAAATTTGCCAGGCTGCAGGTGACGCACGTTTGTTGAGTTATGTTAAACAGTATGAGTTTTCAAAATTTTGGAAGGGACAGAATTTATTTAAAAAAGTTTTAGCTTTCACCAGAAAAAAATTGTGATAATCAGATAATACACAAAAAAATATGAATATTTTTTAACTGAGCTATGAGGCATTTGTGCTAGTCGGTAATTAACATTAATTGCATCATCAGGAGCCTTTTACCAATATATTTCTACATACTAAATTTCATTTTAATCGTTCAACACTTTTCCGTTTTGTAACTGATTATTGACATTTTTCCAAAAACTTTGGCGCTTCTTGCGGTGCATTTTTGCACATAGGTAAATTAGTGTAAATCATAGTAGTTTGACCTTAAGAATCTAGGGTGGCTTGTAATGACACCTACCGATAGTATTTTAAAACTTGTAAGAACTTTTTGCTAATATTAATTAATGTAAAAATGCATAATAAAAGTTCTGAATTTATCATATACTTACCGTAGAAACTATAAATCTGCATATCAACACTTACTAAACTAAAAAACTACGAATCTATCTTAGAAATTGCAAAGGCAAAATTATGCTTAATTAATACAATTCTATTAAATTCTGTATGCCTGACGAATTAAGATTAAGATAAGTACTTAGCAGAGGAGATATGTTTTGACTCGATAATTTCATTCGATTATCTGTTAGTAAGGGACTGGTTGTAAGTACAACGACACTGATATAAATAGGAATACAAAGATATGCGACATGAGTCGAAAACTGACAGAAAATCGTCGATGATGCGTACAGCGGCATTGTTTTTATTTGCTGTTTTATTGGTGTGTCTTGTGTATAGTGTTGATGTTAGTGGGGTGGCAAAAAGTAGTGTTAACTCTATTTCAACGAACTCTGATGAAAATATTAAAAGTAAGTCATTTTAATTTAGTGTTTACATGTTTGCTTATCAATTTTGAGGATACTTAACGAAAAATAATTATATTGTGAAGGTTAGAGCATTTATTTTTATAGTTTATGTAAATAAATACATTCAATTATCTGTTTGTTTGAAAATATAGGTTATATTGTATTTAAATATTTTGAAATTTAACTGTTTGTGATAAAATTAATAACAATAAATAATTAGGATTATTAGTGTTGCTAATTATACAGAAAGATATACCTTATTAAAAAAATTAAATAAAAAAATATTAAAACATATAAAATCTATATTATAATATCTAAAATATATATGGCAAAAAAAATTAACTGTTCTTGTGCAGTCATGTGATATTTTTCATATTTTCATTGAAAACTGTATTGGAGAAAATAAGTAAAATATCGATCACTGGGATTTTCTTATTATACATTGTACAATAGGTATATTTACTTCAGTGTTTTGTCATACTATTGAACAATTCATACTGTACATAATAGATAAAAGATAAAACCGTATCTTTTAATATAGGATCAATATACAGCTTTAATACTCACTACTTATGTTACCCGAACTGTAGATATAACAAAAAATTCAGTTGCAACTGCTGGCAACAGTTAATAAATCTCTAGCTACTTACATTTGACTACATGGCTATAATTTTGAAAATATTGAGGTAGGTACCTATGCATAGACAAAATAATTCAAATACAACCTATCCGACAGTTTATCCCACTGGGACTTAAATAAATCGATATTGGAAATGTAGGTATAGTGTTTCCCATCTGAGTTGAAGAACCAATATGTTGGCAATATGTACCAGGTTTGGTCGCTGACGCAGCAGCTCGGCATTGAAATATTTGAAAAACTTGTTCCCATATTTATTTAGCTATACCCATATACAGGTCGCCCAGTTGAAGAATGAGCGTGCGGACAAACGCGGCACAAACACAGCCGAACTGGACGACCTGTCCATAAATTCAGTTGTCGACAAATGGCCTAGCAGTGCAGTGCAGTAATGCGGAATTTGGTGTGATTCGGGTAATTTTAATTTATTATAGGCACCTGCTATTAATCATTCATATTATAATTGCGAAAGGGAGAAATAAGAGGGATATTTTGTTTACTAATATTATTACAACAAGGCATTTTGGAGACCTTTTGAAACAGAACAAAACGAATTTTACCATCAATATAATAAAATTGTTTGAGGACATAAATAATTTAAAATATGTTATTAGTCAAATGAACATATAACAGAAATTTTCTATAACACATACACAAATTATTATAATTTTTTAACTTTAGCAGAAAACTTTTTTAGGGACGCCTATGAAACTCATTAAATTTTATTGTTCGTCTTTTTTATACATGTTCAAATGACATCGGAAAGACTATACTAGTTGAATTTTTTTTGTTATTAATTAAGGAACTTAGACGAAAAAAGGAGAAAATCTCGATAAAGTTCCTTTCAATCTGAGCTTTTGCACAGATGTTCTTTGAGGTGTCCTAAACCCAAATCCGCAAAAATCACAACATATTGCCATTCAAAGGTTTTTGCAAATATCTCACATTCTATGCATCGAATATCCATAAAGTAAAAGTTGTAGAGAATTTAATTATCTACAAGATTGTCTCTTGCATTTTTCCCAAAATCTCGTCCTTTTCGAGATATTCAGATTTTTTCTCAGTATCATTTCGGAGCCATACCATTAAAGTGTATTATTTCTGACACCCTGTACATTTTCTATAAATATGTAAATTTATCATAATTCACAGTATTCATTATTGTTTTTAAATTTACGTTGAAATAGGGCAAATATTTTTTTCAATTTCTCTATTTAAAACAAAGACGTTGAATATTTATAAGTCACTTTGATTTTTTTTTGTCTATAAGTGTAGTTTTTTTTCATTGCTGTTACTGTTTAAAGAATAATAAAATAATTGAAATTGTAATAGAAAATTTAGAATTTGTAAGATCTTTTACATACAACCACAACTTCCAGAATTTTCTATTACTATTAAAACAACCCCAGATATAAATAAGGATATTGGGATATCCCAACGTAAATTTGAAAATATTAACAAAAGCAATAAATTATGTTGTTTAACCATTCAGAGAGGAATCTACATGCATTTTTAGTAATAATTTATATGTATTTTTGGAACGGTAATAAAAATAAACGAATTAAATCAGTACAGTATATATACAGTGCTTTCGAAAAGTAACGAATAAATTCATTATTTTTTAAATTGAGAAGTTTTCGAAAAAATCCCCTGCCACGTCGATTTTGTTTTTTAAAAAGGCACTTTTTGACATACGACCCATATTTGTGACGTCATCGTTGTTCGAGATATGACGTCATAGACAATTTTTTTAAATAGCAACCCCCAATTTTGACCATACCAAAGCACTGTATACAAGATATTCTATTAGAAATAATAATCTTGAGTACCTATTTTTCTCTAAGAATATGAAACTAGAAAAAGAATTTCCTTTATATTGAAAACCAATCAAGTTATCCAGAATCTATTTATACTACTAAATTTAAAATACGAGAACGCGAAAACCTTTTTTTTTCGGTCTGTCACTATTTAGCATGTTTTCTGGAATGAGACTAGAATGATTGATAAAACAGCTAGTTGATTTATAAAATTTTATTTATTTATTCTTACAAGTTTCAATTAAATTAAAATATCAAGCTGTTTTTCCCTCAGAAAGCCGTGCTGGTCTTAAGTTTATTAGATATTTTTCTTATTTATTTATTTATTAGAATGTTTGTGTGTAATATTTAACGTGGTTTACATAATCAATGCTAGAATTTACTAGTAAAAATTTGCACAGTAATTTTGAGTCACCCTGTATTTAAATATGTTTTGGTATATTGAAGACCTTTAATTATCAATTTTCAACAAAAGATAATTCAGGTACCGAGGTTTTGGAAAACATGCACACAGTATTAACAAACGCACAGGGCCATTAAAATTTACTAGCCAGCTGTGAAAGTAGTAAAACTCGATTTCATATATTAAATACTTTTTCTTAGTCTTTATAAACTGTCAAAACAACTGACAACAAATTTGAAATCTGTGACAGTAGTAGTAATACTAAGGAACAGGTTGTAAGTATAATGACACCGATAAAAATAAAATAGGAATACAAAGATGTGCCGTGCCACATGAGTAGAAAACTGACACTTTTATTGGTGTGTTTTATGTATGGTGCTGATGTTGCTGAGGTGGTGAAATCTAGTATTAATTATATTTCAACGAACTTTAACGGGAACAATGAAAGTAAGCTATTTCAATTTAGTATTTACGTGTCTGTTTATTGTAATTATTTTTCATTTTATAGGACTCGAACTAAAAATTAATATAAACAGTTTTTAAATTGTTAGTTAGTTAGATTTGTTTTTGTTTTCATTGATAAATGTTTCGGAGGTAATAAGTAATAAGTACAAGGTATCGATCACTGGCAATTTTTTTTAAACTGAGTGTTTTTAAAGTATGTACGGGGAGCACGTGACATAATGTATTCCTGGGCTCAATACAAGTCATTCTGTACCATTGTACCTAAAGACAAAAGTAATCGCCTACTGAGATATGTACCATCTAGTATCATCAAACAGTATACTTTCATACAACTTTAAAATAGTTAACGTTAAAGTTGGTAATCGTCAAGCAAGTTTATTTAAATAAATGTCCCTAACTACTAAATGTATTATAAGAATTTGTAAGAAAATGACAGAACGCGTTGTTTTGAGGTCTCAAAACCGTTTGACGACCCATAACATTTTATGTACGATGGCTACCTACCTGATGGCTAGCTATCTAATGTATGTTTTTAATAGAATATTAACTTTCTTCATCTCTCGTGAAAATTTAATGTCTACCTAGATTTGTCTATCTAGTTTTCCAGTAAAAAAATAAATCTTTGCCTTTTGAATAAATTGAAGTAGGAAAATCCATTTTTATACAGGGTGTGCCATTAGTGTGAGAAAGTAAAATAACTCCCTTGTTATTCATAATACAGAAAAAAGTTTATATAAAAGTTGTACAGAATCAAAAAACCTATGGGCCAAAATTACATTAAATATTACATTTTTTAAATAGAACATAGTATATTTTTAAACAATTGGATTTCTGAGAAAATTCTATATATGGCAATATAACAGTTTAACATTTTAGTGCGGGGTTGCCAAGTTATGTAGAAAATTCTTCGAATATTGGAAAAAACATGACCTCGAAGAAGTTGACTTTCAACTATTAACCTTGGAGTAAAAATATTTGACAGAGTTATAGGCAAATGCTAGGCAAAGACTTCTATGTTTGCTAATATCGACATAATACAGGGCATTCTTTATAATACGATCATTTTTAGTAAATTCAAACTTGATATTGATAGAACTCTATTTTATTGTTCTATTTTATTCACATATCAGTCCATTTCAACTTTTATTAAGTATGTTCTACACCTAAAGTTGTTAGTTTTTAAGATATAGCAACATTTCTGGAAAAACCTAATTTTTATTATTTTCGGTCTCACGAAATGGCTTTGAAAAAAACTGTCACATTGTGTCAACTTGTCAGTTCATAGTTTATTATTCCATTTTGAATTAATTTTATTAGTTAATATTTATTTGTGGTATTCTGTAAAATAATAAAAATTAAGTTTTTTCAGAAATGTTGCTATATCTTAAAAATTAACAATTTTAGATATAGAACATGCTTAATAAAAGTTGAAGTGAACATATGAATAAAATAGAACAATAAAATACAGGGCGTTCCATTTGAATAAATTTAGAAAATCAAGTTTAAACTTTCTAAAAATTATTGTATTTTAAGAAATGCCCTGTATAAAATATCGATATTAGCTAATATAGGAGCCTTTGCCTAACATTTGCCTATAACTCTAATTATTTTGTTCCAAGTGTTAGTAGCTGAAAGTTAATACAACTTCTTCGAGGTCATGTTTTTTCAAAATTCAAAGAAT